CAGAGCACTGTAGGTGTCCTCCCAGGGCAGCCAAGACAGAAGGCCTATGAGGTAGATGACCCCCACCCTATTTTTGCTCTTGTTTTCATCTCTTTTCCCAACTGGAAGTAGATAAAATTCAAAAGAGATCGGGGCTTCTTAGAAGTTGCATGGTTGTGAGAGGAAGATTTCTTGTAGGGTCAGGGATATGGGAGGCCACTAGGGGACCGGAGGTTTCCAGACTGCCTTGGGAAGTGTGGTCAGGTACATGAGTTCTGGTGGAGGAGAGGAAGAGATGGGCACAACTTCATCCTTGGAGTTCTGGAAATCAGAGTCTCTGTTTTGAGAGAGAGGGAGAAAAAAAAAAAAAAAAAAGAAAAACACCCAAAGGGCTGGCAAGTCCAAACTCTGGCCCTATCCCATTCTGACTCTGGGGTTTTATATTTGGAGGCAATTCGGAAGGCCTTCCGCTGATTGGTCATTAATCCGGTGAGTTATTGTCTGCTAAACAGAGGTCACTGGGAGAGAGACATCCAATCTGTCAGGAGAGACCTGCCCAGTCACTCGCAGCAGGCTAGGCCCCTGTTCCTCTCTTGCCTGCTTCTCCCTCCCTTCCCCAGCCACCCACCTCCTCCCCAAGCTGGCCAGGATTCGGTCTTCCCCGTCTTGCCCTCGCCAGTCTGCCCACCTTTGTCTCGACTGGCCGCCCGGGGTGGGTCTGCCAGGCCGGGACTGAGCGTCTAGATGCGGCGGGCCCCGGATTCAGATGCGCCCGCCTGTCCCTGACTCGTGACTTGGCCCGCGGCACCGCCATCCGCTCGGTCAGCGCATCCAGGCCGCCTCCGTGGTCCCGGAGAGAGACACTTTGCGAACCCTCGTGGCTGCTCTGTGTTTCCCTGCTTCCCTCCCGCGCCCCTCCACTTCGGGTGGGGGGAGAGCAGAGCTTGCATTTTTCTTCTCCAACCGTGGCGGCCTCTGTCTTCTTTCGATCCCCGCTTCCGCTGAGCCGGGTCTACACCGGCCTCCGCGGCCTCACGGAATCTTCTTCCCGCTTCCTCTTTGTTTCCTCCCGCACAGGCGTCTTAGAGAGGTGGGGGTTGGGAATCCAGATACCAAGAGCCATCTTCATTAGCAATTTAATTTTACAACCGCCAGCTTTGAAATCTTTATTAATATGCAAGAAGAGATGGACATTCCGGTGCGTGTGTGAACTCCACAGCGGCCACAAAGTTGGGCAGTGAAGCTGGAAAAGAGTGTGGGGCCCGGAGCCCAGACAGAACCAGGAAGAAACAGCTCTCTAATCGCCTTGCCCCCCGCTCCCAGGTCCCAGCTTCTCAGTGAGCCGGTGGGTTGGTTGAGCTGGAGGCCAGATCTTTGGTCACCCCAAGGCTGATATCAGAAATCGATTTTAAAGCAGCCAGCCATTTTGTCCTTATTGAGAGGAGAATTTTCGTTTGCTCTTCGGTAGATTTTTCTTTTGGAGGGGGAGAGGGAAACAGACATGATCCTTCCAAGGCCTGGAAGGTGGGCAGCCAGGAATGGCTCTAAGAGGTTTAACGGGCTCCTTGTCCCCTGGTACTGGGTGCGGATTAGGAGTGGGGGAGGGGAGTGCTGTAGCGAGTGGGAGGGGAAAATATGCCCAGAAGGGGGCCATTTTTTCTAACTTTTACCTTTATTGTTAATTTCTGCCTTTGTTAGATTACCCTAAAGTCTCTGTCTTAATCTCGTCTCAATTTTTCTTTTTCAATCTCTCTCTCTCTCTCACACACACACACCCAGAGTTAGGTTGCCCAAATTTCCCTACTTGGGTCCAGGAAGAAATTGTTCACTCCTCTCTCTGGTCTGCCCCTAAATCACCACTTCATTGTCAGGAGTGATAAACTCCTCTTCCCCCTCTTTTTCCAGACCCCAGTCTTCCCGCACACCCCTGTGATGTCTCCTACTCCAAGTAGGAGCCCGGCCTTTGTCCCCTGAAGTTTGAAAGGTCCCAGCCTGCAGCAACAGCTCATAGGAACCGGGTACCCTCCAAGCTGCCTGTTCCCCCATCCACCTACCCCCTTCCCAGCCCCAACCAGGGCCAACCGGCCTGCCAGAAATCTCCAGGAAAGGAAGAAGAAAGAAACCAAACTGGGATCTAATTGCCTCCCAAGCAGTTCAAATGGGCTCTGTTCTCCAGAATTAATAAGAAGCCCCCACTCCTTCTCCTACTGCATTGGGGGGTGTGTGTCCTCTGAAATTTTTCTCCAGGTTAGCTTTCTGGATCCCCAGTCCTCCTTTTCACCCCCACCCCACCATGCCACAGCTCCTTGTGTCCCCAGAAGAGACCACAATGAGTTGAGGAGGCTCTGGGAGGGGAGGGGTTCACCTCTGTCTTTGGAAAGCTCCTCCACCCTCCTTCAGCTCAGCTCCAGGCTAGATCCTCCTGCAGCCCAGTCCCACAGGCCCACAGCTGGCTGGGTACCCTCTGGGCTTTCTTAATTCCTTGAGGTAATGCTGTGCAGCCCCATAGCGACCAGGTTCTCCTCTTGCCTCAGTTTTGCAATGATTTTCTGTAGCTAGTGGTAGCAACAGCTAGGAGGGCTGGAGGGTCTGAGGTACATTTTTGACTTTTAATTTTGGGGAGTAAGAGAAAAGACCCAAAGGTGCTCATTCCCTTAAGCCTCCGGAAGCCTCCCTGGGCTGAGTCCCCAACCCACCAGGCCCAAAGCTACATAGGAACCAACATAGTAGGTCCCTAACCAGGGTCTAGAAATCTCAGGACAGGCTCCGTGCAACCACGTACGCAGGCAGCTGTAATGGTGTTCTTTGAGGGTCCTGGCTTGAGTAGCAACATAGGCTTGGGCTTGCGCGAGGGGAAAAATGGCTCCCACCCTCTGTCCTCACCACCCTCCCCTTCCTTCAGCCACCAGCTCTCTAGGCAGGTGGTAGGGTCCTTGGGACATCACAGTGGGAGGTTCTGGCGTGTAGTTTCTGTTGCTGGAGAGCAGGGAGGCCATGGGTCCCACCCACCGCCTGCTCAGCAAGGCCCCAAGAAACTGGCTGCTCCAGCCCATGAAAACTGACTTAGCGGGACTGAAAGCAGTAGGGGCTGGAGGAGGCCCGGGGAATACTCGCTAAGAGAGCAGGACCCTTTCTTAGCCCAAAGCAGAGCTTGTGAGTGGGGTGTGAGGGAAGCTTTGCCAGACGCAGCCACCCTCTCCTGGAGGGAAGACAATAGCTGGAACCATCTCTCACCTTTGTTCTCCCAGTCCCATCTCTTCTGGTGCATCCAGATGGGAGAAGGCAAAAGCCAAGCATTCTAACCAGGAGGTCACAGGGTAGTGGCTGGCTCTGTCTACTCGAAGTTAAGAGAACAAGTTTTCCAAGCTGGCTTTGTAGAAAAGAGAGACTCCATGCCTTCTATTTTATCCCCTAAGCCCTGAGTCAGCAGTTAGGCAGAGTTGCAAGCACTCCTGCTTTGGGAGATGTCCTGGTCCTCTTTTTGTCTCTCCTCCACCGGGAGTGGCTCTTCCCCACCCCCGCCCCAAATCTGCAGACACCTACATTCTTGGCTCTTGGCTCCCTCCTACAGGCCTCCTCGCCTTTTCCTGCCCTTCTCAAACACATCCTAAGAAAAGTTTAGCTTTTGTAGTCCTCCTCACTTGTGCCAAGAGTCATAAATCTTGCAGAACTAAGAGAAACAAACAGGTTTGTTCTGCATAATAATAATAACTACCCTCCTTCTCTTCTGCCAGCGCACTTAAGATGAAGCCATTTTGGTAGTTCTTCTCACCTTCTTAGAAGTACAAATGTCCTTGTCACCTCTTAGCCCCTTCTCCCTATCCAGAGGTGAGAATCTTAACAGAAACTTCTCCGTGAAGTTCTTACAGCTTCTCTATTGCCAGCCGTGTCTGGAGCTCGGGCTAAACAGACTGCTCCTTTTGTCACCCTCTCCTCAACCCCCCTCCTCCTGCAAGATGGTCTGGATTTTTAAAATAATCACTCACCGCTTGTTGTCTGTTCTCAAAAGGGGGGGTGTTTAAAAAAAAAAAAAGGTCTGGCTGTCTCCCCTACCGGTTGGAAACTGAGCCTGGAGATTTGCGGGGAGAGAGAAGAAATAGGGAGGGTGTGGGGGAAGAGAAGAAACAGCCTGGGAGACTTGGAGAGGGGGAGCCAGGGCGAGAGGGCGGGAGACCCAGCCACCAGTCCCGGAGGAGTGAAACTACTTAAAAAAAAAAAAAAAAAGCCCTAGTGTTGCCACTTCAAGTGAACACAGAGGGGCACCCAGCACCCCCACCCCCAGGCGCCTTGCGTGCCTTTGACTAGGCCTCCCCACCTACTTCACAGTTAGCATAATGGTTTACCAGCAGGGTGCCGGGGAGCTGTGAACTCCACTGGCTTTGCCTTGCCTTCCTCTTCCTGCCCCCCCCGCCCCCCCGCCCCGCACCAAAATCTCAATTTAAAAATTTACCTGTTTAAAAAAAAAAAAACCCAAAACAAAAATCCCTACTTTCTTTCCTTTCTCACTTTTTTTTTTTTGAGGGGGGGGGTTTAAAAAATGTCCCCCTCCCCCATCACCACCAACACCTTCCCTCCTTATCAGGCATCTAAGCTTGCTAAAGGGGGAGTGGTGGGGGTGTGTGTGAGCTTGTGTGTGTGTGAGTGAGTGTGTGTGTGTGTGTGTGTGTGTGTCTGTGTGGTTTTTTTCCCTGTGCAAAAGCAGAGGCCATTGTTACGGAGAGTAGGGCGTACCAGTCTTGTAGGGCAACCACACTGTGGCGGCTTGGCCGAGCCGGAGCTTGGAGCTGGATTCGCAGCGAGCTGAGCCGCCCGAGCACCTTTCGGTCTTCTTCTATTTTTTTCCCCGCTCCCCCACCCCCTCCCTCCTGAGCACCCCCGCTCCCAAGCCGAATGAATTGAAGCAGACGCCGCGCGGCTCCTTCGGCCGCTCTGCCCCTCGGGCTCCCCAGCCGGGGTGGCTATTGGGGGGGGGGGCGACGCAGCTTTAAACAGTGGTCTTTTTTTCCTTTGCCTTCAAGGAGGGGAGATTTCTCGCCTGCCGCTCGCGCTGGGGCTCGATGTGAATATATATTATGTCTGCCTGTTCTCCCCTCGTCGGTGGCTAAGGTAAGCTGGACTGAAATAGGCTATCAGTTTGTGAATGGCGGAGAGTATGTCTCAATGATTTATGGCCCATATGACTCCAATCTCGGTTCAAGAAGAGTTCACAAGCTTTAAGCTTCCTTCCACGCAGCGACTCTCCTCTCTCTCTCTCTCTCTCTCTCCCTCCCTCTCTCTCTCTCTCTCCCTCTCTCTCTCCCTCTCCCTTCTTGCTTCTCTCCTTTTCTCCTCTCTTTTCTTTCAGCAGCCAGATCCAGGGCTGAATTTTCCCCCGGCTGCTAAGAAGAGCCTAACCTTTCTCCCTTTTCCTTTCTTGTTCTTTTATTTTTCTTCCTTCCACTATTTTTTTTTTTTTTTTTAAAGTCCTGGAAGGTGGCCCATCCCCTGTCTCCGGGCTTCCCCAGCTATTGTTACTCGACCCGGCTCTTTTCAGGGGTGTGCCTGGACAGGTGGGGTTCTTGGGATGGCTCACCGCCCTTCTCTAGTGAGACCCTGGGGGGAAGCCGGGAGCCACCGTCTCCCTCCCTCCCTCTCTCCGGAGAAGCCATATGGAGCCTGGATTTTTCCAACATGGAGGCAAGGGAAATAGACATGTTTGGCTTGGTAGAGCTGCACCCACCCCCTCTTCTCCTGGATCCCTAGATCTCGGATCCCCTCAACACCTTAACCTCTTCTCACTGTCCCTCTGGCAGACCCAGGGCCTGCCAAAGTCCCGGAGCAGAGTTGCTAAGGCGCCTTTTAATTCGGTTACCTCCAGCTCCCAAACTTGCTGCCCTCAGCCCGGTGTGCTTGGAACCTGCCACCGCGAGCCCTTTAGGCATTCTGAATGCTTTCTCTTCGCCTCCTTGGGCCAGCCTAGCTAGTCACCAGCCCCTGCGGCAGCAGCGGCCGAGACAGCCCAGAGGCGGCAGCCAGGGGCTAGCTCCGTCCACAAACCTCCCAGCCCTCTCTCGCCGCCGGCGGTGTCTCCATTCTTTCCTGTTCCGTCTCTGGCTTCTCCGCTTCCCACACTCGCCTGGCCTCTGTCCTGCGATGGTTTGCAGGTTTATTGCAGGGGGAACGACAGGAATTTCGGCCCCAGGCGTCTAGTCAGATTATTGCTTTATCATCATCATCATCATCATCATCATCATCATTACGGCTGCAACAGTCATTTAGACTAAATAAAGCCAGGGCCCAGCCAGCCAACCTCTTCCAACGTTTTTATTTCATTCTCTTCTCTATCTATTAATAACAAACTCAACTGATGCCTGTTAATTAATTCCCCCTTCATCCAGGGCTGCTCCGAAGCTAATTTTGGTTAAATCATCAGAGGCTAATGGTAATAATAATAAAGGGACTGGGTCAGGCTGGTCAATTGAACTCCAGTTCTCCTCCCTGGAAGGACCTGCTGCTCTACAGACCCATGTGTATTTCCCAGAAACAAATTCTTCCCAGAAACCAATCGGAACTCAGGGCTACCCTGGCTCCCTTTTGAGTGTAAATCTCTGCCATTAAGAAGGGGATTTATGTGTGGAAGGGACTTCCTTCACCTGCCCTCCTTTTATTTTATTTTCCTATTTTTAGTTTGCTTTGGAGTTGACCAGCTGGGCTGAATGAGATTTAGGTAGTCCAAACTCACATGTCAGAAGACAGGGTCACTCTGGAGGTTTTATGAAATACGATGGTGAGAGATGCGGGAAGACAGGGAGGAAAAAAATGCAACCAGAAGTTTTAGAAGAAATACACAAAATCCTATGACAGCTTGAAGCTTTATTTTTTCTGCACAGTTTTAAAAGTCTGCGTTAAAATAATGATTTTTTTTTTTAACTTGGAAAACTTCAGTAAACAAGATACCCTGTTTCCAACCCAGAGAATAATATTGTTCTGATTGCTCTGTTGACTTTCTTTTTTGCCTTGGGAAAAGGTGTTCTCATTCAGGAAGCACTTTAGCATCTCTTGGTAGAAAAGTCCAGCAGTTATCCAGTTTCTCTCTTCTTTTCTTCTTTTGGAGAAATCAGAGGAAACAGACTGTCAAGGAAAGGGGTGGGGAAAAAATTAGGTCTGATGAAAAAAAATGGAGCCGGGAGAGACTTGGGCCAAATGGTCACTGCACCAATCAGTTGGGCCAGGGAAATGGAAACAATCCTGCTCCATTTGGGGGCCCCATGGGGCTGCTAGCTGCTGGGTCCCAGACTTAGCTGAGCAGAGACTCAGACTGAAGGTGGTGGTACCTGCCTGCCGCAGGGCCATGGAGGAGGCTCGGTTCTGCTGGCTCTGGATGTTAAAAATCTTCAGGAAGTTTCTAGGTCAGGTTGTTGTTGTCTTCGTGAGGTGGGAGGGGAAAGAGAGGGCTCCTCACAGGAGAAGGTTCCCTGCTCAACTTGCTTCTCCTTCCTGTCTCTTTCGGAGATCCTCTGTTTTTTTTCCTTCAGGCTAGACTCTGCTTGGGTGAGAGACCTGGAGGGACATGGAGGGAGGCAAAGACAGGAGGCGTCTCAGCTCAGAGGAGGGTGTTGGTGATGCTTTTATTTTGGAGTCTCCTAGTTCCCCCCCACCCCAGCCACCCTATCCCAGAGTTGGTGTGTGTGGGGGGGGTGGAGATTGGGAGAGGGAGGAGGAAGAGATCAGGGGCTAGCATGCAGGCGGGAGAGAGAAACCATGGCCTTTGCGGTAGTAAGATTCTATACCTAGGCAGTCCCCAAAGGAGTAGAAGTGGAAATAAAAACTGGTGGGCTCTTTCCTTAAAATTAAAATAAGAAATAAAAAAAAAAATCCATTTCAGGTCAGAAAAGTGGCCTCAGCATCCGCTTTGAAGATGTTGGGGTGGGGGAGAAGAAAAAAAAAAAAACCCTATTGATGTCAGTTCCCTTTTCAGCTCCTAAGATGGATTCGAGCCCCAGTCCTCTTCTCCCCCTTGTGTCTCTTCTCTCACCCCGCAGGTCAGCCGCTCCCAACGGACTCGGGAGGAGGGGGGCAGAAAGGGGAGGGGGGGTCCGGCGCCTCACGTGACCCCCGCGGGTGCCAATGTCCGGTCGTGAGGGTATCAGGCTCTTGCAAGTTGCCACCCACTGCCCGGGCCTCGCCCAGCGATGCAGAAAGCCACCTACTACGACAATGCCGCGGCAGCACTCTTCGGAGGCTACTCCTCGTACCCTGGCAGCAATGGCTTCGGCTACGACGGCCCCCCCCAACCCCCCTTTCAGGCCGCCACGCACCTGGAGGGCGACTACCAGCGCTCGGCGTGCTCGCTGCAGCCCCTGGGCAACGCCGCCCCGCATGCCAAGAGCAAGGAGCTCAACGGCAGCTGCATGAGGCCCGGCCTGGCCCCCGAGCCCCTGCCCGCCCCGCCCGGCTCACCCCCGCCCAGCGCCGCACCTACCAGTGCCACCAGCAACAGCAGTAATGGGGGCGGGCCCAGCAAAAGCGGCACCCCCAAGTGCGTTCCCGGCTCCAACTCCACCCTCACCAAACAGATATTCCCCTGGATGAAAGAGTCAAGGCAAACGTCCAAGCTGAAAAACAGCTCCCCCGGCACAGGTACCAGCTCTCTGCCTTCCCCGTCGTCAGCTTTTGTCCGGGCCAGGAATGTCACTGTTATTCTAGCACCCAGCCCCTAGGCGCCCGGGCGGCGGCGCTTCGCCCGTAGCCCCCACCACCTGACGACCCCTGACCTCGCCAACACCCTGTCCCGCCAGCCACCCTCCACCTGAGCTGCCGAGAGCTCCAGAAGGCCAGGTGCTTGCTCGGCCTCAGCCCTTGGCAAGGCCACAGAGCCACGAGACGCTGCCAGCGGACGCAGAGTCGTCAACGATTGATTATTATTAAGTATGATTACTGTGGGTATTAATCACAATCGCTCGGGCGGCCCGGGGTCCCGGCCTCCAGGCAAAGCAGCCTCTTGGAGCCACACTTCCGCGCCCTGTCCCCGAATGTCCAGATTCCCCCAGGGGTTCTCCTTGGCCGCCCACCTGGTCCAGAGGACCTGGCGGGAAGTGTGTGTGGGAGGGAGTGGGGGTGGGGTGGGGTCTTCCCAGAACCCGGAATTGGGAAATGGGGGGAGAAAGCGGGCGCGAGAAAATCCAGCTCTAAATGAATGGCCATGCGGCTCTGTCTGCGTGACATGATCAAATTTTCATAAGCTGGGGCAGCAAGAGGAGAACAGGTCTCTTAATAAATGCCACTATTATAGAGTGTCCGCTAATGCGACGGGCGTTGGGGGGGGCGGTTAGGAGGAGGCGGGGACGAGAAGGGGAGGGCGGCGGTGGCTCCGAGTCCAGGCCTGGATTTATTAAGAAACCATGCATTCAATTTCGGCGTGTTCAGTAATTATCTTTTATTTCATTTTGTCCCCTTCCCACCCCTCCCCCTCGGATCCAGCGGAGGGCTGCGGCGGCGGCGGCGGCGGCGGCAGTGGCGGCGGCGG